GGGGTGGTGATTTGACCAAGCTGGGTGAAAACCAGGCCATCCAGCTCGGGCAGCAATTCCGGCATTCCATCTACCCCGATTCTCCGTAAGTATTGGATCGTCTGTTGTCGCAACGCGTATATGCAATCGCCTTGCATCGCAAGGATTTTATGGTCTCGCACTTGCTAGTTTCGCATCGAATGCATACACTCGATGAGGGGTTCTTCGACTAGAACCACAAACAAATTTTCTCTAACTAACCAACCAACCAACACACCGATATTGCACACACTCTGTTGAACGGAATTGAATCAACTTGAATCACAGTGGCGGAGGAGTTTTGAGGCTTCATTCTACGTTTCGCCACGATCTGAAAATAAAAACCAGCGACGAAGGAAGAGTAATGAAAACAGCTGCCGCTTTTGCAAAGGGGTTGCTAGATTTAGAGGGAGATATTCCCCCCATCCTGGTTTCGTTGGTCCACAAGGAAAAGGGGAGTATGCACATGCTGGACCCTTCCGGCGACAAGGATGTCAAGTTAGAACTGGACGAATGCAAGGAAAAAATATCGCAGCATCTCCAAGAGGATATCGACTGGCGAGACATGACCGAAGAAGATCGCATCCGCCTGGTCGGACCTCCCGAGGTTACCTCGCTGAGAGACGCTCTCGCCAAGATTGGCAATCCTCGTAAGACACTTCAAACCATCTATCAAACGATGGGTACTTTGATCGAAGAATTGGAAGAAATGCTCGGTAGGGGGGAAAGTGGAGACGAAAAAGCCTCCGACGAAGGAGACATCCAAAAGGGAGATAGCGAAGATGCGGATGCCCAGTTAAGTGGCGTCAAGTTGTACAAGGGAGAAACTCTGTTGGAACTGACAGAACGGTGGCGGTTTATCTACACGCGGCTATACGATGCCGAGACGGACACCTTTGATCTGTCACGGATCCCAGACGTCCTGGACAACGTTAGGTTTGATGTCCTACACAACCCCCATCTTGGCTTGACATCGATCTTGCACAAGCTTTATTCGCTGGCAAAAGACATGGCGGACACTGTTGTGCCACAGGAGTATGGCACAACCCTSGCTGAGAAGCGGAGCGTGGGCATCAAGGTCTGCAGCTCCCTCCTCGAGAAAATTCGTTTCGATTTGCACATTGCCAGAACCGACAATAAAACAGACATGCGGTACATGATCAACATGGACTACAGCGCGGATCTCCCCATCACCACCATGGGCCGTCGCATCCGTACTCGCTTATACTTTACCTCGGAAAGTCACTTGCACACACTGATCAATGTCCTTAGGTTTGCCGCCAACACTGACGCCGGTGGTTCTTCTTTCTYGGRCACCAATTGCTCCTCCCCCGTGTTATCTCCGTTTGGGTTTGGCTTTCTGAACGAATCTAAGGAAGTCTGCTACCTGACCCAGGTTGTCATTCGGCTTTTCGAAGACACCGGTCGCCGAATGAGCGATCCCCGGCGCTACCGCGTCGAAATTCTCTTCTCGGCCGGTGCGACCGGGACCCCCATCCACCAGTGCAAATCGACGAAGGAAACGGACGCAACMCGCCTGGATACAGAGCCCCTCGTAGCCGTAGGCCGAGAAGGTCTAACATGCCAAGAGGTCGAGGCATTTTTTGATTCCATTATCGCCGAACGAGGTCAGAGCGATGGCAACCACGACGTCGACGCAATTTCTGAACACAGCGGCCCACCGAAGACTCCTATGGGCAATCCCATTGATAGCGATGGCAAGAATCTCCCGACCCCAAAGACTGTGAATACAAATTCAGTTGCTTCTTGCGCCACTGAATCCCAAAAAATCACCTCGGATGAGGGAAGCGAGCAGAATCAACCACAAAAGAACGATGGAAATCTCAGCAACAGAAATAATGCTGTCTCTTCTCCTCCCAATCCAAGCGTGCGGAAGCAAAATGGCAGAAAAGCTGCCGAGAATCACACGAGTAACAGGGAAGAGAAGGGAAAGAGCGATGTGACTCGGGATTCGTCGGCGGTTTCGTCGTCGTCACCACCCGAACGCTCCGAATCGAGCAGGATCGGCGGGGCCAGACCAAGTAGGGCGGATGAAGACGACCACAACAAGGCGGTTCGCGATCACCAACTCTTTTACCTTACCATAGCTACCACCGCACTAGTGATGGGGGTTGGCTGCCTGGTCCTCGCTACAGGATTGACGGGGAATCCACGCAACCGGCGGCATTTCTCGCATTTCTCGCAGCGGTAACCACCAAAACGGAACTACCTGCGCTCACAACGAAAGCTCGACATGCTGGTCACAGCAAACGAGGAAAAACGAAACCACACCGCCTGCGGTTGCCCCAGCCCCACTGTATACTTGATAATACAAATAAGACACAAACAGATGAAATCACTTGCTCGTAATGCGAAGTAAAATTATTTTCATTACTCGTTTAAAAATATTTGCTGCCATAATCTAAGTAGCTATCTACTACAAGTAAAGCGATTCACAGTTCCGTTCTAGACAGACGTTRCAACCTCCTCTTGATCGCGWGCCTTGATTTCTGAGCGAATATTCTCTTCGCGTTTGCTWTCGAACCCCCATTTGGTGCTCGTATTGCGATCGAACATTCCCGAAGYGACGGARCCCCTTTYCGCYTGCTCCTCGWAGTCCCGAAAAAGAGAGTCGAGGCGTTTGATCACAGTGGATACTACAGTGTCGGGGTGTAGCTGGGGCAGGAACGGCTTGCTAACCCTGTCCTCGAGGAGCGACCCTAGATCGCTGTAGGCTCTTTTCAGTATTATGTCGTACGTBTTGTTCGCGAGCTTGAGATTYTTGTGCTTACCCATGGTCGACGATCGCACGTCGATGGCGAACTCMAGCTTGTCAAAGGCGAACATGATTTTTGTSGGAGGCGATAGGTGATYGGTGTTCTCGACCGATTTCATGAATTCTTCTTCGATCTCTCTCATTTTTTCATTTTTCATAGTGATGGCTAGGCTGTCGCACTCACCACATATCAAATCGATGGACATGTCCAAGGCATCCATCCTCTTCGCAACCATTGAGTGTTCCTSTGCTTTSACRTCGAGGTTCAGTTTCCGGTTGATGTTCGTCACGATCAGAAGCAGYGCACCRACRACTCCATCAGCGATCGCCCTTCTAAGCATGTGAGCATCCGAAACGACAACAACATTGCCCTTAAGAGWCGGTTTCATGTCGTTAATCTGGTCATCGTTGTATTCAACCGGTGCTGTGTTAGTCGCTGAACTGTGGGCCGAAACCGTACCAGAAATAGCAGTCCAGATGGACAAGAGCTGGAGCGGAAGAAAAATGAAGAAGAACTGGCATTTTGCGAAGTACGTGGCGGATAAATAATTTACGTATTTGGCTTTTAAGACGTTGGAATGGATCCTTCGCCRCCTAACTTCGATGTTGTCTTCTTCGTTGTGCAGGCTGCGAGTGCCCTGTGGCGGTGGCGACCCTTCGTTCGCCGATGGTAATTCCTGTTTTGTAGAGATCGATCCGCGCTGTTTTCTTCCGCTCTCATAGTGTGTGTCGAGAGACGATTGGTCGTTTGATGTTACAGATTTTGTAGGTGAGTCCTCCATGATTTTGTTGGAATAGTTGTATTGCGATGCAGATGKATTGATTCAAACAATCCAAAAATGCTTGCCGTTCTCTTAGTCGCTACGAAAAACAAACTTTTGCGACAACGGTTTGTTGGCATTAGTACKGATGATTGTTGTGATCTCACGACATTTCTCTCATCGATTCGCATCTAAAGCTATTGCGGGGGTCGAATCTGTAAACGTAATCCATTCTTTGTGAACACTTCCTAAATGCAAACAGTTTTTAAACACGACTTCCCATCACAGAATCAACAGCTGCTTATGCCGACGAAAGAATTTCGGATGCTTTTTGTCAAGTAAAGTGGTCAGGAATGTTATGGGCTATCCAATAGATGATGGGAATCATCTATGGTTTGTTAGGCAGCCACGGCCATCATGTTTAGCGGCATCCTGGAAATTTCTCTTAAGTTTTGTCATAAATGTTACAAGATTTATTGTGATCGTAGTGTCTTATGGCACTTGTACCGTTCCATACGTTTTTTGGTTTATTTCTCAGATTTTTATGAATACGCTTGGTGATTCAGGTTACTGATTCACTATTACTGATTCACTATCTACTCGGGATTGGTTGCGGCGGCCGCCGTTTTTTTTTTAAAAGGACGGCGGCTGCCAAAAAAACTTACTACAGTGCAAAAACTAGGTTATTGCTACTAGAATGACTTGTTGTCACAACAATGACTGAATGTTTAAGTTAAAAAATGAATAATCTGGCTACCGCGCACTAAAGTTAGTGAAGTGCAGTGTAGTGCACCATAGCTAATTCAGCGAAAACTGTAAATAGATTGCAGAGCGGTTTTGACCGACGATGATAACTCGATTTTATTTTGATCCTCCCCCTTCTACATTTCCCCTCTCCCAGCACCCCTCCACACACAACAAGGACAACTAGCTTTGTCCTTCAATATTTCTATTGGTGGTCCTTACTACTGGAGAGGTAATGTGTGATTCCTGTTATTCTAAATCTCGAAAGCTCTAAATCTACTACTAGTAGGGATCTAGAATAATGGGAATCAAAACATTCAACGGACAGACTGAGAGGATGCCAGCTCGATGCCAGTCTTTTCCAGAATTTGGAATCTTCTTAGTATGAACTTTGTAATGACTAAAAAGAGGCACATGAAGGAGCACACAGATTTTCAATACGTGTGTTAAGTCTTTCAATGGACGACTGGAAAATTATTTTATTCGTGGGTTCCACTCTAAATCTAGAGTATTTAGGACCGGGTGGTTTGACCGGTTCTAAATGTGCTAAATCTAGAGTCAAATTCTCTAAATTTTGGGTCTGTCAGTCTATCAAAATCTAGAGATTTAGAATAATGGGAATAACCCGATTTCATTGCTTAGTAGTACTACTTGAAAATTCCCATTAGTGCTAACTACTAGACAACCTTTATTTTTAGTGCTTACTAGTAGTGGAGACAAAATATTAATGAGCACAGCAAACTGCTGGGTACTAAGGGTTTTCCTTCTTCTTGTTAAGACGAGTTCTGCAAGAAATATTTAAGGGCCAGCCAGCAGGAGGAATAATTTAAATAATTGGAATCAATTTTTTGAAAATGAAAAAATGACTCTAGCAATTTTGTTAGTGTTTGTATGGGGACCATGGAAAAACAGCCAGAATTTTGCTCTCCAGTAGAAAAATCCTGGGTGGAAACTGTTCTGGTGCTGCAATCTATTCTTAGTACTACTACTAGTAAGTCCTTACTATGTATAAATTGACAGACCAAAAATTGAAATTTTGGAATTTTGCATAATGGAAATCCTCAAGTTACAATTAATTTTTTAACTGTAAAAATGACCCTATCAATTTTGTTGGTGTTTGTATGGGGACCATGGAAAACCAGCCAGAGTTTCGCTCTGCAGTAGAAAAATTGTGGGCGGAAACTTCTCTGCTGCAATCTATTACTAAGTCCTTCTTATGTATAAATTGACAGCAAACCAAAAATTGAAAATTTGGAATTTGGTATATCTTGTTGTACTTGTGATTGAGCGCAAGCACAATGAATAACAAATAGATTGCAGAGCGGTACCCGCCCATGATTTTCTACGACTACTGGAGAGGGAATTCTGGCTGGTTTGGGATAGTCCCCACACAAACATCTGCTGCCAATGCTGCAACAAACAATGTAAGCACCTTGGATTGTCTTGGACATCCAAGAAAGTGGAGGCCTCACAGACTCCTTTTGCTTGTCATGAGATCAAGCATTTTTGTGAGTCAATCCTTGGGAAATCCAACTTGCCGTGTTAGTCTTGTGATTACTACTAGTAGTAGGTTGTTCTGAAGGGCATCAGGCTGCATAGGAAGGCACCCATCAAATGTCTAGAGTGACATTGCCAAAATCTTCTAATCTTAGATACTAGATCAAAGAAATTCTACCAACTTATTTTTGCTGTTGGCCTGTGCGACATTCTTCTTGTTTCTTCCCACCACCATCCACCAACAAAAAGAACACGATGAATGGGTCACAAAGAGCTTGGATCTATTGCAAGAGGTGGTGTTGCTTGTGTCATTGCATTGATAGCTGGAGGGAACAAGGGCAGATGATCTTCCTTGTATGCTTGCCATAAGTATGGAGGAAAGCACCGATGATAATCCCCTTAAGTGTATAGTACTAGTATGTCACCTGCTTGCTGGTCCCGTCTGTCCGTCGCTCCCAAAACTCTTGTAAGATATTTTTGTACAGTACTCAAACTCACCTTGGATTTCCACTGCTGTCAAAGCAATCGATCTGAATCTGAAACCTGACATTTTTGATCTTTCAGACGGAACTCCCGAAAGGAACAAATTCGCCATTCCTTTGATCCAACATCAAGAAACAAAGCGAGTTCGAGCATCGTGCTCGTTCCAGTTTCCCAACTCGYAACGGYAGTAAATGCCATTGTCTGGTCTGAAATTGCACCAATCAACGGTGGCATGTATCATTCGCTGTAAGCGGTGATTGATTTTCCAGTTCACCAGACACAGACAACCTTCACAAAATGGCATGGTCAAGTCCAAAGAATAGCGGAAGGAGGACGAGGACAACTCGAACCCCTGCCGGGCCGATCTACTACGACTCGAAACACTCAGTTGCCATTCTMCTTCAGTGCAACGGRTCGGCATGGCTCAGGGTAATACCCTGGTGTATCCTCAACGCGGCATTCACGGCAGCATTAACGGCACTCGAAACGAGATACGACCTGCCACTAGCGCTGCCGGGCGAATCGTCGTCGCTCGGCCACGATTTTACCGGGTTGGTGCTTTCCTTTTTGCTGGTGCACCGAATCGGCTGGGCACTCCGCAGGTACTCTCGATACCAGGAATCCCTCGGCACTGTCCTGCGGGACGTCCGGGGCCTGACCCAGAAAGCCATCGTTTTYTCTCGGCGAAACAAGAACAACGACACCTCTGCCAAGGAATGGAGGTCCGAGATCGCCTATCGGAGCCTGCTCATGGCCAGAATGACCACCGCCAATGCGGAATTCCCTGTTGCGCAGATCCCCGCACACGAGGTGGCCGAGCTCGACGGCCCGGAGCTCCAGTTTTGTACTCCCGATCGGGACTTTCTGYACCACGCCGAGATTCCGTACAGCAAGGGGATCCACTCCTTGTTGCGGATGCCCTGGAAGATTGCGGAATTGATTCGAGAGACAATCTGTGGGTAAGTCCGCCATTCGATTGCCCGSTTTTTCGGTTCAGATTGCCAATTCGGTGCAACAAGCAAGTCTAACTCTAAATTTCGCACGGATTCTTCCACGCAATCCAATGCTTTCTTTCGCCTTGCCCSCC